CCACAAGTGTCATTCAAGTTAATGTCTCAGCAAGATTTACAATGTTACTAGTTTCTCATAAACTAGAGAAATGTCTCATATAATAAATCTCCCCGAAGTTATCATTCTTTTTTTATATGGGGACACCTTAATATTTTGGACTCTGTCCCTCACATTTTCCATGGTGAAAATTTAAATTTCCAAATTCATATGTTAAATGTTTGGAGGTGATATCACTGAAAGGTGACTGACTCATCTGGAGTCCACTCTCATAAATGGAATGATCTCGTGCATTAATAAATTGATGGACTATTGAGGGATTGGCTTTATTAGAAAAAAAAAATGCTCTCTGACACTCTTGCTCTGCCTCATCCTAGGATGCCCTTTTCTATGTTACTATGTAGCAATCAGGCCTGCACCAGGTGCCAAACAGATACAACAGCCAATGGTGTAGATGTTCAGCCTTCAGAATTCTGAGCTAAACAAACCTTTATTCTTTGCAAATTACCCTGTCTTAAGTATTTATTATATTGTGATACAGCAATAGGAAAAGGACTGTGGCCTGGCAGTGATGGCTCATGCCTTTAATCCCAGAACTTGGGAGGCAGAAGCAGGCAGATCTCTGTGAGTTCGAGGCCAGCCTGGTCTCCAAATCGAGTTCCAGGAAAGGCGCAAAGCTACACTGAGAAACCCTGTCTCGAGAAAAAAAAAAAAAAAAAAAAAAAAGAAAGAAAAGAAAATGGACTGCGGTAGTTGGTCTTGATTGTAGAATGACCTAAGAAATATACCTCTAGGTATGTCTAAAACACATTGCCAGAACAGGATAAACTGAGGAGGGGAAACTGACCTCAGAGTGGGCAGAACCTTCCAAACCCTGGCTAAATGTAAGGAGGCTGGAGAAGAAGCAGTGTGTGCACACCTGCCTTCACATCTTTCTGAGCAGGCTTGTCCATTACTGCTGCTGCGGTCCTCTGCTGATTTCAGTCTTCTAACGTGGACTAAAGACTAGTGGCTCTCAGGGAATGTGCAGGCTTTCAGCACTGGCTCTCCAGGGAACGTGCAGGCTTTCAGCATTGGGTTGAAATGGATGAATTATTCAGCTTCGTGAGCTGAGTAGCTAGTAACAGGTACTGTGGCTCTCCGGTGCGGAGGCGGACATTGTTGGATAACCGCAGTCTAGCATGTAAACTAATCTAATGAATTACAGATGTGGTTTGTTGTTTGGGTGGACTTGTATGTGGGAGAATGTGTAAGAGTTTGGAGCTGTGGCCTAGAGATGTTCCAGAATGCTGTAAGCAGATTTTAATGGATCGTTCTGTTGGGAATGTAAAGAATGCTGAGAGAAATACAGATACTAATAACCATGCTCATGAGATTTCAGGGGGAAAGAGGTCTCTGCTGGAGATCGCACTGCAGGTCACTTGTGTGATGTTTTAGCAGAGCATCTGACTACATTTTTCCCACTTGTTAAAATTTCTAATGAAGCCAAATTTCAAAGCAATGGACTAATTTGCTCGCTAGAGGAAATTTCAAGACAGGATAACCTTGGGGCTGCAGGGTGGCTGCTTCTCACTGATCTTAGACAGGTTTACAATTCACTCACAAGTCGAGCAAAAAATAGGGAAAACAGAGTTTGGTAATTAAAGGACCTTAAATAAGTTTGAAGTTTCAAACAAGCTGGGTTCTGACAAAAAAAAAAAAAAACTGTAATTTTAACCACCTTTAAAGGGTGACCCCAAGCTCTGCACTGGGACAACAGACAAAGTGTCTTGATGTCAGGGCCCCATCCAAGGCTGCACTGTGGCCATGTAAATTCACTGGAAAGGAGCCTGAGCTGAGAATGCTACTGGAAGGGCTCCCTGCTCACAAACAACTGCCCAGAAGAATTTTGGTCCAGGTTCAGCTGCCTCAGCACTCATGACCACGTCAGTTCTGATAGGAAGATGCTGATGACGTCACTAGTGGCAACAAAACCTGAAGTCATCACCCACACTGCGCTGACGTTGTAGGCACACAAGAGGGAAAAAGATGAGTTATGAAAGCTCTCATCCAAGTTTTCAGAAGGCTGTGAGTTGAGGGAATGTACAGCAGGGTTGGGTTCCCTGAAAGGAAACGCTATAAACTTGAAGCCTAAGTTTGAGCCATGACTCCAAGTGATTGGAGATTCCAGAAATGTGTAACACTCACAAAAGAAAGCTGAAGGCAATGAATTGCCTGGCCCAAGAGACAAGCCACAGGAGCAGAGATGAAGGTGCCAAGCTAACCAAAGCAGGCAGAGCGTGAATCATGTCATCCAGAGTTCTAGATGCCAGGCCTGGGGCTGTTTCTAGGATGGTTTCTGTCTTTGTTCGGTCCATTCTTTCCTTGCTACTGTCTTGTTCCTTTTGGAATCAGGTTATTTCTTCTGTGCTGTTATATACCAGAAGTACATAACTTATTTATGTTTTGGTTTTACACAGACCCTTAGCTAAAAGTTTCTTTTTAATCCCAGAAGGAACTTTAGACTTTAGAACTGTTGGAACTGAAATATTATGGAGAGTTTTGAATTTGGACTGCCCAGGTTTTGCATGATGAGATGGTCGTGAATATAGTCATACCCTAGGAAAATTGTTATTTCTTACTCCAACAACCTTTTACTCTGCTGGCCTAGAAGACATGATTCCAAAATGAAAGCATGATATTATCTCCACTAAACTGAACATTAAGACTTCCCCATGGTTACTTTGGATTCTTCGTGTCTTTGAGTCAACAAGATAAAGTAGGGATTAAATTAATGGCAGGTGTGATTGGTTCAGCTGACCTGTGGAAAACTGGACTTCTATCACACAACAGAAGTAAGATTACATAGGGAGTGTAAGCAATTGATGGAGCATCACTTAGCATTACTGTGCCTTGTGGTTAGTTCAATGGGAAACACAATCCAGTCCAAACAGTATGATTAAGGAACATAAATGCTGTGAGTCTTTCTTTTCTGTTTTGTTAAGAATGTATTTGTAGCCGGGCAGTGGTGGCACATGCCTTTAATCCCAGTACTCAGGAGGCAGAGGCAGGCAGATCTCTGTGAGTTCGAGGCCAGCCTGGTCTCCAAATCGAGTTCCAGGAAAGGCGCAAAGCTACACTGAGAAACCCTGTCTCGAGAAAAAAAAAAAAAAAAAAAGAATGTGTTTGTAGGGATGGAGAGATGGCTCAGTGGTTAAGAGTACTTGCTCTTGCAGCAGACCCAGGATCAATACCCAGCACTCATAACTATCTATAACGCCAGTTCCAGGGGATCCAATGTCCTATGCTGACCTCCTTAAGTACTAAACACACATGTGCTGTGCATAAACATATACAGGCAAAACACTCACACACATAAAATAAAATACAATTTAAAGAGAGTATGTCTTTGTATCTACATTAACATACTAAGTAAATATCCATGTTTTCTTTCCCTTCTGTTCTTTTACCATGTAACATAACATCAACTATCAGCACTTCAGTACTGTCAAATCTGTGTTATCATATTTAAGTTATGGGATATAGAAAGAGTACGTATTCCTCAAAAGACTTTGTCACATATTCTGTGGAAAGAATTAGTGACTTCTCAGTTGTATAGGCGGCATCCATATCATCTTAGGAGTAGTTGTGACTCTGTCATTATCATAATTTAGAGGACTTAGGGAAATGTGATTGAACTTCATCATCAACTTGACTGGATTTAGAATTGCATAAGAGTGACAGCTGAGGACACGTCTGTGAGGGCATTTCCAAAGAGGATTACCTGAAGCGCACGGGGTTGGGGGTTAGGGGGGAGGTCCACCCTTGGAGTGGCTTGACCCTAGCTCACATATAAAAGGGCCCAAGGAAAAAGAAGTTGCCTGCTAGCCTGCCTTCAGTTCTTCCTAAGCAAGTATAACTGTTACTAGTCACTTCGGACATGTGACTCCAGCTCCTTTTGTCTTCCACTATGAGCTGGCTACCAGTGACTCTCGAGGAATCTTCTAGTTCTTCAGTGCCAGATGGGAACCTCAGAGGCATCCATCTCATGCACAGAGCAGTTACTAGGTTTTGAAACGCTCCACTATGCAGCTAATCATTGTTTGACCCCTTGGTACCTGTTCTGTGAGATTGTCTGATCCTCCAGAGAGTCTTGCATGTTACAGTGCATTATACTAAGACACCACTCTTAGTCCTCAAGTAGGTGTGACACTCAGGGCTCTTGTCCAAGCTCAGACCCGGGCAGGAATTACCTTGCAGAGGAACAAGTTTCTAGGGTAGGATGACTGTCTCCAAGAGCCATAGTCTCTCTGCCACTTACCCAAACTTATGTTAGAATTCTTCACATAAGGGTTGGCAGAAGCCCATTACTGTGCATATACCAAGTTCAGTTTCATGACTCAACACCAGATAAAGATCACTTTGACAGGACTGTTTCACAGGTGCCCCTTGCTTCCCTTCGTCTCCCTTCTTTGCTTGGAAAGTGCACCTGGGCCATGGAAACAGAGACACATAGGCAACCAAGAGCAGAAAACGAGCCTAGTCTCTCTGGAACAGATTTCCTCTTGTAGATATCAACTGTATCCCTGACAACACTGAGTCCGTCTCTGTGCAGTTCTCCTGCAAAGTGCTCACATATGAAACACCTACTTCCAGCCTGCCTTCAGCGTGGTTAGCTTGGCCCTAGTTTTCAGTATTATTCCTGAGTCCTTGCTAACACCTTTTTTCTATGCACTCACGACTTTCACTATCTGTTCCCAACCAAGATTTTCAAAATGTAAAATCATGAAGTGTCCAGCAAGCTTACAACTATTTCTTAGCCATTTCTTCAACCCAAATCATTCAGAATATGATGAAGCTAATTTTAGTAACAAATATGCCTTGATCTGAGTTGATATCACCTGTACCAAAGTCTTTAATCACCAAATCACGAATATCCAAGTGTTCAGCATCATGCATTGGTGCATTTTTTTTATTAAATTAGTTTAAGAACCTGATATTTAAGGAAGTATTTTAAATGTTTTTTCTAATATTTAGAGTACCTGAAAAATTCCATGAAAGAGAATCCATACCCATGCTGCTCTGCAATTCCTGCACAAACAACATTCGCAGATGCTCCAATCAGTGTCCCGTTACCTGGAATCAGAAATTAAAAAAAAAAGTAACAGTCAAGCTCATCTTGGAAGCTGATCTCTGCTCTTTTCTTCTATTCAAAGGCTGTGGTTTGATGGTTACAGTCACCATCAAAGTGGAGGCTTTGAACATGTCTGGAAACACAAACACATTGCAAAGAAGAAAGTGAATTATCTGTGTGTAAATGGCATGCTTCCTTTACAGACTGTATTATCAATGCTCTATATGATGCTAAGGAGAATTGAAAAGGTCCCTGTTGGAATCAGGTAATATGCATCTCTTGGAGAAAAATGCAAGCAAAGCAAACGACCACGGGTGGCAATGTGTGTCCCTTTTTAAACAGTGTAACAGGACCTCAGATATGAACCTCAGGACTCTAAGCTCAGACATCTGCTAGGAAATTCTTTCAGCAGATGAAAAGGGTTAGAAACATCAGGTGAAACAATGGCATAACCTGACTTCGCTCATTAACATAAATATTTTCTTGAATAAGCTTTCTTTGTGCAAATGGGATGAAAGAACATGCTGTGCACACGGGCACTTATGCCAGTCCTACAATCTGGGTGAGGAAAACAGCCATGGCTATCCCATCAAATTATTCTCCCCACCCCTTCTTCTCTCCCTCACGCAGTGATTCGTTCAAGATGGACTTACACAGAGGAGCCCAAGAGCCTCTTCTTTCTCCCTCATTGGAGCCATCAGTATTCAAGTACACAACCCAGGCTCCACCAACTTAGCTCAGGTCCGACATCAGTGCATGAACAGTAGGGAAAAAGCCTGTCTCCCCTGAGAGCTGGTGAGCAGCTAACCCTGCTGTGGAGCTGCTACAGTGTGTGAGCAGGAGGAAATGATGCTTCTGAAACTGGAAACGTAAACACGGTGAGACAGAAGAGTTCCAGAGTCTCATGAAGAAAACAATGGCAGGGAGATTGGAAAGCTTGTTACAGTATCAGGGGTGAGAGGTGACAAGCCCGGAGCTTGAATCAAGGCTTCTGCCTCCAGAGCAACATCAAAGAGGAGGAGCTTAAAGGTGTCTAGGGATGTGTCATGGATAGACACCGAGCATCTGAAGGGTCTGAAACAGGTAGCATCGTACAAGTCATGGTTTTGCTGGCCCAGACTACCTACCTCTCCTGGGTGTTATTTTCAGCTGTATCCACACTATCACCTGTCTGTCTGTCTATCTGTCTGTCTGTCTGTCTGTCTGGTCCTGTTCTGAGCCTAGAGACCTGATAAATGAGACTCTGCATCCTTGCCAAATGTGATAATTAGTCTTAATTGTCAACCTTACACAACCAAGGGTAATACGCCTCTGGATGTACTGGGGGGAGATTATGTTGACTGTTAATTAAGGAAGGAAGACCCACCCACTATGGGTATCACCATACCCTGGCTGGGATCCTGGGCTGTGTAAGTGGAATGCCGATGGAACCTGACCAGACACTGTGTCACAGGGTTTCTATGGCTGTGATGAACACCATGACCAAAAGCAACTTGGGGAGGAAAGGGCTTATTTGGCTTCCACTTCCATATTGAAGGAAGTTGAGACAGGAACTGATGCAGAGACCCTGGAGGAGGAATGTTGCTTACTGGCTTGTTCATCATGGCTTGCTCAGCCTGCTTTCTTATAGAACCCAGGACCACCAGCCCAGAGGTGGCACCACCCATGATGGGCTGGGCCCTCCCTCATCAATCACTAATTAAGAAAATGCCCTTCAGGCTTGCCTACAGCCCTATCTCCTCTCAAGTGAGGCTCCCTCCTCACTGATGACTTTCGCTTGTGTCTAGTTGACAGGAAACTAGCCAGCACACACTGCAAGTTCCTATCACCTTGATTCCCCACCATGATTGTCCCTTCAACTGTGAGCAAGAGTAAAATTTCTTCTATTAAGTTGCCTTTGTCTGAGTTTTTTATCACAGCAACAGAAACAGAAGCCAAGGTAGTCTGATGGATAAAATATGTCTTAGTTTCCAACTATCTGGTCAATGCTTCCCAGTTCACACAACACATTACACTTCCAAAGCCAATCAAAAGCCTCCACTTAGAGTGTTCATCAAAATTGTTAACCCCAGGGTTAATGACGTTACTGCTTCCCTTTGGAGTTTCAGTTTAAAGCAATGAAAAGGGCTATGGATCTGGGTGTGAATGACGTCCTGAAGAAGGTATGCTGTAAACGTACATAGTGACACCGAATGGTACCCTTCCATATAGCTCAAAGGTACATTTTTGTGTTAGGTATTTTGTATCACAAACCCTGAGTCAGTGAGAGATGGGGCCCCAGCAGGGTTGATGTACTGTTATCACCGAGCACGGTAAGTGTGCAGTGTGCCAGGAATGAGCACCTTCCAGCAACTGTTTAAAAGTTCTTGGTGTTTAAAACCTTACTGTTCAATAATGCTGAATACTTGCTTCCCAGATGTGCTAGGTGTCTAGCCTACATTAGCTTATTAGTCTATAATTAGTCCATGTTAGTGTCTCTCCTGGAGACCCCCTCCAAGTTTACCCTTCAGGAACTAGCCCAGGAGGCCTCTTGCCTTTTAAGAACCTGCTCAAACCCCCCTTCCCTCAGATCACCTTTGCTGACTGCTCTCCCCTGACTGTGCTCAGGGCCTCCCACCGTGGGAGAACATCCCCATCGTGAACATCCCCAGTGTTCCAGTCTTAGATTGAGTGGCTGGCTCCCCACCCTAGAGCACAATGCCAGGTTACTATAGCAGGTAGTTCACATGTTTGAATTTCATTGAAGTTTTTAAAAATCCCATTTAAGGGATGAATTTGCAGTGTCCTTGGATCTTGTTTCTGTTGCTGGTGTTAAATGTATCTATGAAAGAAACTCTGTTGTTTCCTGGAGCTGTTTCTCAGTTGGAAAAGTTTTTTTAATTGTTCTGCACTTCTATAAGATTCCAGCCTCAGTCACTGCATCCGACAAACTAGCTATCTTCTGAAACCATATATGTGTCACTGGCAGATGTTAATCCCGCTTCACAAATGAGCAGATAAATGAGCCAGAAAGTTATGGATTTGGTAGTCGGATAAGTCAAAGAACACAGAAAGCTAGATTATCTGGACATGCCTGGAGGCAACAAAAAATGTTAAATATAGCTAGCTGGTGTGTTTATCGAAGATTCTCCACAATCCACCTGTGTTCCCACAGGCGATTAAGCTGTCTGAATATAAGGACTCTAGCTTGAGTCCACTCCAGACAGCTACATCCGAGGCCCTCATGTATTAACCAGGGGTCAATTTCAACTGACAATCTCTAACTCACATTGCAGCTTCTTTAGACTTCAGCCCAAGAACCCATGTTTGACCTGTCCTCTTCCCTCTTCCTTTTAGATAGAGTCCCTGCTCGCCCGTGCATTGCTTCTGAGCAATGCAGCCCAGAGAGGAAGGCAGGAGAATGAGAGAGAATGGGCACTGCAGATTCTTCTGATTTGGATAGTGTGGTGCGTGAAGGTGCAGGGGGGGAACGTGTTAGCTTTGAACTGTCAGTAGTGATCGTCCTCAGACCATGGGGCTCTGCAGGGTGAGAAGTTGTAGGGAGCAAGTGAAGTCATGAATGAATATGTTGTTGACATGGGCACCAATGCCTCAGACACATGCTATGGTAAAGCCTTCCCCCCGGCGGGGCTCAGAGGGATGGCAAAGCTGTCTTCTGATCTGAATGTGAATGATAACGCTGTGTAAAGAAAATGTCCACCATAGCGTTCTCCCCCTGCAGGTTTACAGCTTGAAGACTGCTCCCCTACAGAGACTGCTCCTAATCTTGTCTCCTGGATCAGATGTTTGAAATAACCCCGCCTCCCTGTTCAACTGTACACAATAAACTCTGAGCTCCCCAGGAACTGCGACTTCTTTCTCTGAGTCCAGACCACCTGATCCCAGTTTTTCTGTATGCCCATGCTTTTTCCTTTTCTTCTTTCCCTTGCTGCTCCAAACTAGGGTTCCAGGACCCAAGGCATGCAAGGACAGGGCGAAAGCTGACAGGCTTCCCAGAGGAACTAAGGAATTCTGACTGTTCAAACTTTGAAATCAGGGTTCTCCTGAGTTTACTTTTGATTGACTATCTACCAGCTCCTTCTTTGTCTGCCCCACGGTGTCGGTGTGGTTTTCCCACAATGAAGTCAGGACCGCTTACCTCCCAGGCAGGCACCAAGAGCCAGAGCATACATGAGCGGCAGTGCAGGCAAGCTAATCTCAGGGTCTTGGCTCAGGTTCAAAAGTACAGGAATCTGTGGAAGAAAGGGATATTGTAGCCTCATGTCATAGAAACCTACAAGAGCTACACACTGTGACAGACGTACAGAATGAAGGGGCCTTACGTTATTATTGTTGTTGTTACTATTCCTACGCTATTATTATTATTATTATTTGTTATTTGTGTGTGTGTGTGTGTGTGTGTGTGTGTGTGTGTGTGTGTGTGTGTGTGTGTGGGTGTGTGTGTGATGGGGTGGAGGTATCACAGCACAAGTGTGGAAGGCCAACCTTGTAAAATGGAGTCAGTTCTTTCCTCTCAAGTTCACATGGCTCAGGTTGGCAGGCTTATATTCTTGGGTGGCAAGTGCCTTTAACCACTAAGCTATCTCACTGGTCTTCAGAGAGTTGTTTTCTTTTTGCTTTTTTTTTTTTTTAATAACCAGACTGTTAAATAAATAATTAAAAAAAAAGAGCACCAGATGCAGCGAAGGGAGCCAAAGAAAATTCTGGCATACACAAAACCTTGAGTGTGTACCCATCTGTCCGTGTCTGGTCCTAGCCAGATGAGGTTTCCTCATTTGAAGCTGCCCAGGCTGCTGCCATGGGTCACAGTGGATAAAGTCATATCCTGTCTCATGTGGTGCCTAAGAACCACGAATCCAGTGTTTATGAAATCCTGCCGGGGTCATGCTGTGCACAAGGCACCATCTCAGTCCACGTTAAATCACTCCTCCTCCAACGTGTCTGCTGTCACTTCAGTTGACAGATGAAGGCTGGTGAGACGGCTCGGAGGGCAAGGGTACTTGTTGCCAAACCTGTGGACCCAAGTTTGATTCCCGGAACCACATGTTAGGAGAGAACTGACTCCTGCAAGGTGACCTCTGACCACCACCACCACTACACACACACACACACACACACACACACACACACACACACACACACACACACACGCACACACGCACACACACACAGCACTGTCATCCACCACCACCACCCACATATACAAGAGAAATGTAAAAAAATAAGAGGATGAGAGTGGGGCATGAGAAGACACAATAGTGGTAGGTTTTACAACCAAATCATGAAAATAGTCTCTGCTCAGAAGCAGCACCCTGGGAAAGCTGCCTCTCACCACTGCTCTCCCCAGTCATCCTGACCTGCGGCATTTGTGCTAGGACATGTACAGAGTTTACAACCAGGAATATCAATTTCCAGAGAGTCCTACCAATAGCCAGTGGCCATCTTCTAATAAAAAAAATTTTGCATTATCATAACCAATGAAACATATAGGACTGTGACATTTCTGTAAGAAATGTATGTTGTGTTTTTAAAGTATCATCTCTTTGAGTGTATTTACAGCCAAGAGTTTGCTGTCCTGTGTGTTCGAGATACACTCTGATTATCCTTTTCTCAGAGTCTTGGTCCCCTAAATATATCACAGTGGTTTGCAGAGTGTGTCGACCTAAATCTGGCTACATGACTGCCAGTCAAAAAAAAAAAATGAAAGATGCCCTGAAATGTCCCTCCCAGGCTACCTTCCCTAGCCAGAGGACTCACTAATCACCTACCCATTGGGAAAGACCTGCAGCCCACATTGCCAAGCTAATGGAAGACACAGTGTGTCTTTGCTGCTCACATTCCTATTCCTCTAGGGACGGCCTTATTTAGCTCTCATAAATGGCATATTGGGATTCAATCCCAGATCCTCCTTCTGCAGAAACAGCCATGAATCCCTATAACTGCTGTGTTATTTAGCCTAATTACAGTCCACTCGGCCTGGCTCAGCTCTCTGTATTATTTTGTTTCTGAACATTTTAGAAAAGAAAAGGCTAAAAGCAATAATGGCATCAAGTGAAAAACAAAAAGGAAAAGCTCGTGTGAAGTGCTTTTGACTTTCATCATCTCTGAGTGTTTTTCCCTATGCCAACAGCTACAGCTGCTTGAACACCTTCTTGTTGGGCCTGGAAAGAAACCTGGGGTAAAAAGTTGCTGAAGAACAAGACAGCCTTCAAAATGTCACTTTCACACTGAGGTTAGATGGCAATATACACGACTAGGTATATCCAAGAAATCGGTCTTTTAAAACTATAAAATTATGTGCATAAATGGCCGTCACTTGAATTCAGCCCAGAATAAAAACAATAACATTTTAAACGTGAAAGTTGCCACACAATCTTTCCTGTTCAAGCCAAAGAGTTTGAACAGAAGAGGCTTCCACAATGGAAGAGTGTCTGTAAACTCTCAGTCCCTAGCACTTATCTCGGGTCTCCAGTGTAGCCGTGAGGGCACTGTAGCAGAGGTCCAGGAGTTCTGCTGCTACAGGGCTGCTCTTGGGAGTCCCACAAGCTCTTGCCTACTGCAGACAGGAGGAGAAGGAAGGAAAGGCAGGTGGGTGTGAAGGGCATGGAAATGTGTGTTCAAATATTAAAGTATCTTGACACCAGGATGCCAGTGTCCTCCATTGCCCATCCCATTCAGCGTTCCCTCCACCTCAAGCAAGCAAGGGATGAGCCCTGGCACATGATGGGGACCAGGGGCCTCACACTGACCCCTTCCTTCAGATACTCTATGGCTATTCTCATTGCATTAAATATTAGTAGTGCTAACTATTGTTTAATATTTCACAGTTAACAATGAGCAGTGAAGGGAAGGGCCCCAGGCAGAGGGCTAGCCACAGCTGTTGTCTCGAACGACAGTAACCTAGGAACACGCAGAAGTGACGAAAGTCAGAAACATTTTGCTTCAGTTTAAAAAAAAAAAAAAAGAAGAAGAAGCTAAAATAGCCAGGCATGGTGGTAAACAGCTTTTAATTCCAGCATTCAAGAGGTGAACTCAAGAGTTCAAGGCTAGCCTAGTCTATATAGTGAGTTCAAGGTCCAGGGCAACTTAGTGAAGCCTTGTCTCAAAAATAAATAAGTAAGTAAGTAAATAAATAAAACTAGTAACAAAATTAGTTCATCCCAAACCCTGGGATGTGAATTCCTTCATCTACACTGCTCTGATTAAAACGTTCCTGAAGCCTTGTCCAGCCAACAGGGAAGCCTAAACTCCTCTACTGACTGCTTGTTTTTACTCTGGGCATTAATAAAATTTCCATGGTGTCATCCCACCAGTTATAAGCCAGTTCCCTGAGTTCCCTCCCTCCCAGTTACATGCCATCCTTTCCTGACCACTGACAAACGTGAGCTGCTGTTTGTACACGGTAACATGATGAGTGTGGGGACAGTTCGGAGATGTGATACAGAGAAGAGAGACAGGCTGCGTTTTCTCTTTCGTCTCGTATGTCCTCGGGATAACAGCATTACTCGGCCATTGTTCTAAGGCAGGAGTTCTTAACCTATGGGTTGTGACCTCCTTGGGGTCAAATGGCCCTTTCAAAGGGGTGGCCTGTGACCACTGTAGCAGCAGTCTGCCTCTGTCTCCGGAGCAGTTACATCATCACCTGCCTTCCTGCCCTCAGGTGTGTGACATGTGCAGCCTTTAAAGGTGCCCACCAGGCACAGCTTGCTCGCTCTCTTGCCTCGTCTTTCTTCTCTTACCTCTCCTGCCTCTCTTCATCCTCTTGTCTCTTCCTTGTTCTCTCGGTTCCTCTGTCTGTCTGCCTGCCTGCCTGCCTGCCTGCCTCTCTCATGTTCCAACTGCAACATGGCCATTTGCTCTTTCACTCTCCCCTCCCCCAATAAACCTCTTGCACTAACTCTGTTGCCTGGTGGCATGTTTGCTCAGTGGCATATCTTAGCAGGGCCTGCTGCCGAAAGGTACCCACTTTGCCTCTCTTTTTCTTTTCTTTTCTTTTTTAATCCTTACAATCGCATATCAGATATTTACACTGCAATTCATAACAGTAGCAAAATTAAAATTATGAAATAATTTTATGTTTGGGGGGTCACCACAACATGAGGAACTGTATTAAAGGGTCGCAGCATTAGCAAAGTTGAGAACCACTGTTCTAAGGGAACGATTCCTGCAGGTGCTACAAATCACCAAGTAGTCTTTAGCTACATGACTGCATTTGTCCTTCAAAACAGCAGCTGTATCTACCAGCTCTTTGGTTCTTTGTGTATTTATTCTCTTTATGTTCCCTGTGGGAGTCTGCTGGAGTCCAGCTCCAACCTGTGAAGGGTTTTGCGGGGAGGAGAAAGGAATGAGGAAATGATAGATAGAAGGAGCTGATAAGAAAAGCAGAGACACAGGACAGTTTCAGGAGGGCCCTAGGTCAATACCCAGTCGCCTTGAGATTTATTCCAAAGGGCTTTTTATACAATGCCAAGGGGTGAGGCAAAGGACCTCCCACTTTCAAGATCAAAACACAACATGCAGCCAAGTGTAGACCCTTCAAAACACCTAGTGATGCAGCCCTGCTGGGTAAAGCAAGCTCAGATTCTCTGACCTTGAGTAAGGTCACACTAGGAAGCCTCTGTGGGCCTACACAGCTCCCCTCAATGCAGAAGGCTCCACAACTGTGTAAGGTGAAGGTGCTTCTAGTTAGAAGGGACTCTGCAAAAAGGAAAACTGATGCCCCTCACATCACTGATCAGTCAGTGGGTGGGAGTCAAATCGGTGAGGAAAACTGCTGAATGTGGGTTCATGGGGGGTGAGGGACTCACTTCACACATCTGGGCTTGGACAGAAGAGGATAGAGAAGAAGAAATCCAGAAAGCAGTCCCTGAAGCCCAGGAGCATGGACTTCAGCTTACCACAACTGGTCCAGGAGAAAGCTCTGCTGGGGGAGGCAGGCAGTTAGAGGATGGAAGAAGGAGGGGACAGATTCTCAAGCCTGGTCTTTTACTAAGCAATGGAAAATTCCCAGGAAGCTTATCACTGACTGCAAAGGTACAAATAAAACCAAACGCTGTAACAGGCAGCTGACTACTTCCACCTAACTGGCCCTGGGCCACACAAGCATCCTGCAACCCCATTGTTAGGTCTCAGGCTGTCCATGTCTAGAAATGAGCTCAAGCTGGACTAGAGAAGGATTTCTGGTGGTTTGATGGAAGCCAGCATTCCTCAGGAACTAGAGAAACTGGTTCCCAGCTGCCAAAAGGAGTCATTCCCCTTACCTCTGGCTGAAGGGACTGGATGGCTACCTGTGTGCCCATATCAGCATATCACAGCCCACACTGGCCTCCTGGCAACCTGGGTATCACAAGTACCTGTTATACATTTCAAAGCCCATGATAGCACTCTGCCTTTCCCTTCCTGTCATCCTCCTTATAAGCCACAGGATTTCTTCTCATCACTCTGTCTCTATTTCCTCTCTTACTCCCTCTTTCTAGCTGTCTCTCTATCCTTTTGCTCTCTTGTTATTCTCTCCCATGTGCGCCTTCTCCTCTCTCTCTCTCTCTCTCTCTCTCTCTCTCTCTCTCTCTCTCTCTCTCTCTCCTCTCTCTCTATCTCTTGCTATCTCACTAGCTCCACTATTCTCCCTGACTCTCCCACTTCTCTAGAGCTGGCCATATCTAGTCTGCTTTCTCTTTCTCTCTACTCTGAACTCCTCTAGTTGCCTCTGGATATTGTCTCTCTCTCTTTAGTCACAATCAAAAGCCCTTACCCTGATAATGGAGCAGCCATGCCTACCATCTCCTCACTACACCACCACCACGACCACCGCACACTGACACTCATCAAGTGCAAAGGACCATTGCATCATCTTCCACATGTGCTAAAATCACAGGAGCAAAAGCCTCTGCATGGCACTTGCCATCGTACTCTGCAAGCACAAGCTTAGGATTCCCAGTCTCCATCAGCAATCACAAATGTGCAGGGGTCAGGACAGAGAGCTGTGACCAGAGGCAAAATCAACCAAGCAAAGGCAAAGGAGATTCTAGCACCATGGTAAAGAGAGTCGCCCTCCCTCCACTAAGACAATGGCACCTCTCAGGATAGGGGAGGCCCAGCAGGAGGGACAGGCAAAGGCGGAGCCTGTGGCTCTAGGGGACACAGTAAAGCACTGACAGTGAGTGACTGGAGGATGGTAGACTGGAGAGGATGTAAACAAAGAGTTACTTTGGGGAAGGTAGCCTTCTGTGATTAATTCACACTTTTATCCGTGTATGCCAGGCATGACTCTTTTCTTCTACATGAATATGCATGAGTTTCCCTAATAAAATCCCTTTGTCTCCTTTGTTTAAGGAGATGTGCTTTGGGAGCTTTCCCAGTGCTCTTTTTATTTGAACAAGTAACAAACCTTTCTTCACTCCTGTGTTCCCCTTGTGTGCATATGGCTTTGCCCACATCCAAGGGTGGACCCGCTATGCTCTGCTACAGGTTGAAATAGTAATGCTATTTTATATGCGTTACAAATGAAATGGTCCTCACTAATACTGTGAATAAAGTTGTTGCCTGCTAAAGTTATCTACATGAAAATTTTAAAAACTTATTTGCATATTGATATTTTTACAGAAACCAAAATGAAATTAAATTTAAATTAATTTTTTTTTTATTTTTATGCCTTTGAATATTCTGTCTTCATTATGTCTGTGTACCATGAGCACTTCTGGGGTCCTCGTAGGCCTGAAGAGGGTGTTGGATCCCCTGGGACTGGAGTTACAGATGATTGTGAGCCACCATGTGGGTGCCAGTACTCTTAACTGCTGATGCATTTCTCCAACCAGAGAAACAATATCTTAAAAGACAAAAATGAAGGATTGGAACAAGATACAGCACAGATGTGTATAGAAGATGGAAACTTTACTCGGTATAAAAGAAATGCAGCGCATGAACAGTGAACCTTCAATGCCTAACACAACTATTAAGCCAACAATGAAAAGCTGTGCCAAAGTGTGGGAGAGGTCAAGCTATAAAGAGATCTGCTCTATTAAGACAGGTGATTAGAAAAGCAAGGAGGCGTCCAGTGAAGATCTAACTGCACCATGGCATGCCTGTGCACACAGACGTGTACAGAACTCGGCTCTCTCACATGCACATGAGGAAGTTTGAATTTGTTACTGCCTTTGTCTCAGCACTTTCTATTTGTTTTATTTTGAAGAAATGAAACATTACAGATAAATGGTCTCAGTTGCTCACAGTATTGCTTTTACCTTCCCACCTCCTTAGAGAGCCAACTTTGTAAATTTGAGTATGCGGTGGTTAGAATGAAAGTGGCATCCATAGGCTTATCTATTTGAATACTTTGTTGCCAGTTGGTGGATCTGTTTGGGAAGGATTAAGAGGCATGGCCTTGTTTAGAAATAAGCCAGTGGGGGCAGGCTTTGAGGTTTCAAAAGAGCCACACAATTCCCAGTGCTGTCTATCCCTATCTACCTCACGATGATAAATCAAGATAATAGCTCTCAACTCTTTGTTCCCTTTGCCATCCAGAACTGTGATCCTCTGAAGTGTTAAGACAAATGAAATGCTTTGGTCGTGGTGTTTTATCACAGTGATAGTAAAGTCATCAAGACAGAGCTTCATCTTCTTCAGTAGCACACTGTGGAAGGAACTAAACGGAGAACCTTGATCTATGTGTGTCAGCTTGGAGGGAAACAATACACCACATTGCTGAGTGACACTATTCCTGGGCAGCATAAGCAAACATGTACATGTTTGATCCTATCCTCACCCCAGATAGGAAACTAGCAACAGACCAAAGTCCAGTTTGGTGAACCAATGGCTTTTGCTGGGACTGCTCACAGCTGTGCGGGTGAGGGGTTACTTATAGGAGCAGAAATGAGTTAGGTAAGTGCGTAGTGGCTTAAAGAACATCAGGCGATGATGCCATCAGTGGATGCCTTCACGATCCTCCAGCTCCTGACACTTCAACAGATGAGTCATATTCAAACAACAAAAGTGTTTGAATATGGGGCACTTCCTGCTTACTTCCAATAAGATTTTGGTGTGGAGACTTCCCCAGAAGAGAATTTCAACAGGGAGTATTCGGGGCTGTTAGCCAGAGCCACATCATTTTGTAAAGTTCCTCCATTTCAGAAAGAGATGGCAGTGGCAATTCCCAAGTCTAAAGTAACTTGTTTTTCTATATTCTTGTTCTGTCCATCCAATCAAACCCCAGCAAACTGATCACAAGAGATGTTTACCCATGGCCTGACATTCCTTGAGTCACTACTCACGTCCCTAGCTACCTCTAACAATAGTCACCACAACCCCAAAAAGGGAAGGTGTTCTGTCCTTTGCCCTCTTCCCCTTTTCTGCGTGACAACACCCAGCCTGTAAGCAACAGCAGTCTCTCTGGTTTCTTAGACTAGAACTGTCCCCTCCTCAGGCCCTTCGCAAATGAAGCCTGTGCTGCTGTAGAGCTGCTTATTTCCATGTCTGTCTTTCCTTCTGATCTTCCAAAGCCAGCAGGAAGAACAGAGAAAGCCTGTGACAAACACTTATGTCCTGGGACCACATGACACAGCCTCTCCAGGACAAGATAAGTGTGTAAAGTCACTGGTTGTCTCAGGGGCTGAAGATGCACATCAGAGCAGCACCACCTGTCAATGTCATCTATTTCAGGTTCTCATTGTTACTTTATTGTGCCTACAGAGGAGCACAGTGATTTATTAACTGAATTTTATCTCTACAGTATCTGAAACAAATCATCTATCCATCCTAATTGCTAAAAGTAGATCCTTTGCGTTGTCTAACATACAGATTAACAGTCTTGCAAACACTGACGTTCAGCATCTTCATTCCCAGCCCTCTTTCCTTGCTTCTCTTGCTTTGCTGCAGAGCCCCTGACTAGTAAAGCATGCTCATAGATAACATTGTCTTGTTCATTACCCAAAGGGAAAGCACTCAGTGTTTCATATCTAAGCATACTGCTTATTGCAAATTTCACAGACTCTCAGGACCCCTTAAATGCACCATTCTGGACTCCTGGAGACCTCATGGGTCTTGTTCAAGATGTGATCACTAGAAATAACAGCCACTGCATTTGTTCAGAATTCCCAAACCCATGCCTTGAAACAAGAACCACACTGGATCACTAGAGGGTAAAAGGTAGCAGGAAATGAATTCCAGATTGATAGGGAGGTCCGAACAACGTGGGTTCTGGGGGAAGGTGAGGCTATAAGACTGGCCAGTCCTCTCCTTACATTGCCAGCTCTGCTGCACTCACCTTGGGATCCCTTGTTCCCAGAAGATTATGAGAGAATAGATGGACTATCTATGGAGGGTGGTGGGACCCTTGGGGCCTCAAGAGAAACAGAGAGAACTCCCCAGCCAGCATCCTGCTACGAGGGGCACTCAGTCTTCTGCCCTATACTAAGCACCCTTGGATCTGGAGCTGTTTATAGAGAGACCCAGCTCTTACCTTTCAGTCTCTGTTCCCACTTTTAGTTTTTCACACCAAAGTTCACAGCCCTGCCCTAAGCCAAAGAATCAATGACACAGAAGATGTCCTAGGGATGGAGGTCTTGGTGTTGACTGGTTAAGAACCAAATGGAGACTTAAAATCCCTGCACTGGCCACATACCAGAAGCCATGCACACTACTTATAATAAATAACTTCTGCATTTGAAGGTAATAAAGGCAATATAGCTCAGTCTTTTGGTGTCTTAAAGTCCCTTTGAAAAAATAAAACTTTTTTTTCTGGGAGAGGTAGCAGCCCTCAGCTGGGCTCCCAAAACAGGTAGTCACCCATGGTGTGCCGTCATCCTGCAGACCCTGGTCCCCAGCCTGTCATTAGCCTCTTGGTTCCATGCCCAGCTGCCTCAGGATCAGCTCACATTTTTTCCTTACATGTAAGAGCAACAGAGGGGCTGGTTTCATACTATGCTTCTTAGGAAGGAAAGGTGAGCCCAAATGAGTACAGGCTGTTTGGGTCTTAAACACAGGAACACACAACTCACCATTGTGGCAGTAAATGGGATGTTGTCAATCAAAGACGATGCCAAGGCTGAGACCCACACTATTAGTATGATGGCAGCTGCCAAGCGCTGATCTTCTGGGACCATCTAAAAGGAGGAGATGATGGCCATGCTATGCATTAACCATTTCACTGCTAAATCACACACATGGGAAGAGTCAAAAGATTTTCAGTCCTTCCTCTGACACATGGTAAGACCAAGGTAAGCATAGCCATGCAAACCAGGGTCACACCTATACCAGGAACAGTGGCCATAAGTGATGGAGTGGGGAGTCATTGGCAGTCAAATAGCTCTGTAGGCAGAGGAGTGAGCAGTTCTTACCCACATCACATCTGGGGACCACACAGACTGAGCCTCCTGCTTGATGGCCCAGCAGAGTCCTAAGATAGGAATCTCTGCAGCACTCACTTACTGGGCACTGCCCCTCCTTAGACATATTTTAACTAAAGGCCAAAGCAAATCAGCAAGCATCTATAATTATATATTCTTTTGATAAAAGTATCCCTTCATCTCTAGGCTACCCAGGATAAAGTAGGCTCCCTTTAGTGCTTTGGACATAATTGACATAATTAATGTAACTTTCTTACCAGACATTTTTTTCTTTTAACAAAAATCAAAGATTAGTAGCTAAAACACATTCTATTAGAACACTCAGTGTACCTTTATCAGCAAGGCAGTCTGTTCTCCAACATACTCTACCAGGTGAAGTTGTGCCAAGGCCTAGAAGAAAGATGTGTTTAAAAATGAGAATATATGAAGATTTCTTTTGTCTTTCAGAGGGGAATATAAGCTAGGCCCAGATTATCATTTCTCATTGAAGATTAGACTCCTTAACACAGTCTATAAATTAATTTGCTATCAGATACACTCATGAAGATGCCCAGAAGGAAAATGTACAATAGCAAGGGCAGGAATTCCTAGTTGATTTGTGTCAACCTCTATGTTAGATTTAAATCTGGACAGGAGGCAATCCTTTTATCTAAGGTCTACATGGAAGATACCATTTGATTGCTCACAAAGGAATGTCAATCCATAAAAAAAGGTCTTTTTAAGTGAGCTGCATTTCCAATGCATTTTAAAAATTCAGTTTTTTTTTAATGCAGTTCTTACAATGCTTAAAGCAAGAGAGAGAAAAAAGGACATCTTATGAGGCATATGGCCATTTTCACAGCATGAGGAATGTGTCTTCATGAGAATCTGCTTCCAGTTGAATGTAGAAGAGTAGAATAAGATGGAGGATGCTCAAGAGATTGTGGTAGGACCACAGCTTGGTCTCAGGCAAAGGACACAGCACTGGGGTAGGACAGCACCCCAGCTGCCCATTGCCTCTTCAGTGTGTGACATTTCCACTGGAGTTGCACTGAAGGAGGATTAATATTGAAATGTCAACTTGAATGTGTGTGAATGTAAGTTACAGAATCCTGGTCCATATGTGCAGTTTCCAGTTGAACTTCATTTGAAGATGGTAGAGCAGGAACTTTGAACACAACTCTCAATCAGTGTACTTTTGAACATTAACTGGATCAGGATAATCTACCCATAGCAGGGCTGCCCAGTTCCTGTGCTACCAACGTCCGGAGCTTGTCCACTTCACCATCAACTTGATGGGATTTAGAATCACCTCAGAGATATGACTCTAGGAATGTCTGTGAGGGTGTTCCAAAGAGATATAACTTAGGAAGGAAAACCCACCCACTATTCCATGGGCTGGGGTCTCAGACTGGATGGAAAGTGGGAAAGAGTAAGCAAGTTGAGTAGCAGCATTCATCTCCCTCTGCTCCCTGACCGTGGACACAATGTGACCATCTCTTTCATGTTTCTGCCACCATATCTAAAGTCATTTCTATCACTTTCTCCATGATGATAGCCTCAAATTGTGAGGCAAAACAAACTCTCCCTCCCTGAAGTTGCCAAGTATTTTGTTACAGCAATGAGAAAAATAATACAGAAGCTTGGTACGGGGGTAGGGCTGTTGTGGTATTATTACATTTATTCTTTCTGTAACAACAAATGTCAAAAGTAAAAGGGGAGATTTGATTTGGGCCTAGAATTTGAGGGTCTAGCCCATCATGGCAGGGAAAGGATGGCAATAAGAGCATAGAGAAGTTGGTCACACTGTATCCACTCTCCGGAAGCAGAAAGAGATGAATGCCAATGCTCCACTCTGTTTTACCTTTAATAATAATCTAGGACCTCAGTGCATGGAATGGTACCACCCACATTTAGGGTGGATCTTTCCTCTCCAGTTGAACTGTTCTGAAAACACTGTCACGGCCATAGTGTTTCTAAATTCAGTCAAGTTGACAATGAACCTGACTATGTGGTACTAAGGCATTTGCAATTGGCTTGTGGAAGAATTTGGAAGACTTTATAGCTGAGACCACAGAAGCCCTAGAATGCTATAAGCATGGACGGGCCATTCTAGTGTAAGCGTGAAAGACCAGTATGCTAAAGGCAATGGGGATTGGAGACTATGTCCATGAGGTTTCAGAGAGAACAAAAGTCTACCACGAAACGGGCTAGAGGTCATTCATGTTACATGATGGCAAAAATTCTGGCTCTTTTCAGCCTCTATCCTGAAAACTTCAGTGAAGCTAAATTTAAAGGTAATGTATTCAGTTGTTGGAGAAATTTCAAGAGAGAAGCACATCCAGGCCTTGATATGGTTAACACTTAATGCTTTGGGTCAGATCTATAGTGCGAGAACATAAATACATGAAAAATGTGCAGTTTGATGAGGAAAATAGTCTAGGTGAGTTTATAGCTCAGATAATATGGGTGCAGAAAAAGTGGCCACAACTGTGAAGAAGATGAGTAAGTAGCATTAAAGAGAAACCTTTCCCACCACACAGGGACAATAGCGATGACTCCAACTTTTAAAATTGCAAATGCATTTCAAGTGAGAGAGCCTGACTTTAAAATGCCACTAAATTGGTTCCTTTTTCAAAAACAACCATCTAGGGAATTATTTTCCCAAGTTTAACCATTGAGGGACAGAGAGGCTACTATAACAGCCGCAAAAATTGACAGTGTGACCCACATAGTGCTTATTTGACAAGAATGCAAAATTCAAGAGTTACAGAGCTGTGGAGGCTTCCACCAAGGTGCAGAAACCATGCTGAGGCCAGGCCTTGTGTCTCAGGGTAAGATTCCTGCAAGAAAGCCTTGAAGAGCCTCTAGTGAAGCTACGAAAGCAAAGTCTAAATTACAATGGAGACCAAGACACTTGAGTTACCAGAACGATGGATGTCAACCAAGGAAAGCTGCAGGAGGAGAGAGGAGCCAGCCCGAGAGAGAAGAGTTGTGTCCTGCAGGAGGGAGACCTGCAGAGGCAGAGCTAGCCGCGATGGTTGAAGCCCAAAAGATCCCATCACAAGGCCCAAGGGCCAGACATGGAACTGCAAGATGTGGTTCTCTCCTCCCTTTTGAAATTGGGGATGTTTACTCTGTGTCTTTGAGTATTGGAAGTCTATAGTTTGTTACTTTATTCTTGTTCTTGGTTGGTTTTGATTTTATAAGAGCTCATAGTTGAGACCTGGCCTGCATCTCCCTAGGGATTCTGCACTTAGATTTTTGAACAGTGTCACAACTGTTAAGACACTATGGATTCTCAGAGATGGACTAAATAGATTGTGTGCTATGAGAGGAGTGTGAAAATAGGGGACAAAGGTGGAATATTAAAACGAAGTATTGTATTTGGGTGTCAAGTTGACCAGGGGTAGGCTCAGGGTAGCTAAACTTCACTATCAGCTTGGCTGGATTTGGATGTGGAAGTCAAACCTCTGGGTAGGCTTGTGAAGGTGTTCTCCCAGGGATTTAACTAGGGAGGGAAGACCAACACTGAATATGAGAGCTACCCTCCTGTTGACTAGGTTCCTCGCCGAACAAAAAGGAGGAAGTGCCCTGAGCACCAGCACCCATCTCCACTTCTCCGCTGTGTACCATGTGACCAGCCTTACACTTCTGTCCTCACAGCTACAACCACCTGTTACCACAACTGCCCGGCCAGGACAGATAGATGTTCCTTTTAAACCATGAGCCAAATAGATGATTCCCTCTGTAGGTTGACGTTCTGAAGGATTCTGTCACTATGAGAAAAGCAGCTAATGCAGAGCCAGGCCATTCCTTGCTATGGGGTGTCAGGCTGTGTCCTCAGCCTCTGCACAGTGGGTGATAGCAACGCTTCTAATATTGCCATGTGAAACCAAAAATGTCTCAGAACATGGGCTGAGTCTCATAGGAGAGTAAAATAAACCCCTTTACTAGCCAGTAATCTAACATAACCCAAGTTCAATTAAACAATAGTGAACATTTAAAAACTTAGATGCAGCTAAACCTTTTGTGCAATTTAAGTTAAAATTTCCTGCCAGATGATATATAAAGATGCTCATACATGTATATTCATCCATGATATGCTGTGCACACCTTATGTGTATATGTAGATGCCTAATATCATAAAAATCTCAAAACCTATGTGTGCAATATGAAAAGATTAAAATAACACCTTCAACAGACTTGAACATTCCACCAAATAACTCATTTCAAAATATCTGACCTCATAATTAAAGAAAAATCAAATTACAAGGAAAATACAAATGTGTATTATGATATAAAGTGGTAAATTAAATATGTCCTGATTCCATCTATCATGGATAAAGTTGACAAATATATTTGGCACTTGAAAAATAAGTTAGTTTGTACTTGAAGAGTATGCATATCATTCATCTCCATCAACGACACACAGTAGAGAAAGGGAGTGCTATAAATCACAGCCCCACAGGGACACAGCAACTGTGCCCAGAGATAAGCGAACACAATAGCTCCTTGCTGCCACCTTCAGAACAGAGTACTGCAGAGCACAGGCTCTTCTGCATCCAAACAAAAAGGCTCTGGATACAGCACCCTTTAGCACAGACTGAATTAGTAAGCAGTTTGTCTGCATGCAAACACTACTAGTCACGAAGCAGGAACTGCAATACTTGAGTGGCAAAGACACCAAACTGCCTGGCAGCCTGAGGCAGAACAGCCACTGAAGTCAGGAAGTGTGAGCAGCAGTGAAACTGGAGACTGGAACAAGTCATCTTGAGAGAGATTAATGCAGCCTCTCCTGAATCCCAAGATTAAGATCAGTAATGAGATTACAGTCCGGGACCATCAGGGACAAAAGAAGGCAAGAGATATGAATAAAAGTGGAAATACCAAAATCAGAAAGAACTAACATTTTACAAATGAGAATTCATAGGTAGAAGATACAAAAGAATTTTGTTTAAAGAAACCAAGGGTTGAAGAGTATTAAAATGTCAATTAAAATTGGCCCTTTATGAGCTAAAGATGAAGGCTGTCTCTAAATCACATGAGAGCACTGAAAATATTGAGTTGTGTGACTGTGGGAGAGCAAACTAAAATTTTAAATAGCAATCAAATCAAATAAGTCAAAAAGGAAATTGAAAATAAAAACATAGGGCCAATAAAATGATATATTTAAGCCAAGTGCTTCTGCAGCATCATTACATATAAATAGAGTGTTCTCAGCCAGGTGCATTGTGACCATCCGAGCACTGGAAAGGCTAAGGTGAAAAGATGACCTGAAGAGCCTTAATTAGTCTGATGTCAGCCTTGGCTCCATAGATCAATCTCATCTATAAAATAACAACAAAATAGGTAAGGCAATAAAACAAAATGGTAAGGTAAAATAAAATAAAACAAAAGCCTTACTTAAA